CTGGCAGGCCCACTCAGCTGCAGGAGAAGCCTGCCACTGCCCACCCTGGGGATGGGAATGGTCCCAAGGGTCTTGGGGGGCCAGGATTTTCCTGCCACAAGCAAATAGCTGTCCTCCAGCTGTGGAGGAGACCTTGAGCCCCATGACCCAACAGACCCAGAGCCCTACATCCCACTGCACAGGTCCCACTCCTGTTCCCTCTCCAATCCCATCCGTTCCCCAGGCCCAGCTGCAAGGGTAGATGGGTATGCGTGACCTCAGCTCTACTCTCTGCTGCTCCCAGTCCCTTCCCAGCCTGACCCACATCCTCCCACAGACCCAGGTGCAGCCAGTCCCCCTCTGGCACTGTGATCTTCACCACCTAGCCAGACTTGCAGCACTGTGCCCATCATCCTGCTGTCTTGTCTGGAGTGGCTCTCCAGGGGGAAGAAACCTGGGTCTTTTCCTGGTGCAGGTGCCCCATGCAAGGCACATGTGATGGGGATGGAGCTCCATAGGGATGAGACAGTCCCTGGGTGTCACTCCACAGGGCCAGGCAGTGAGGGAGGGGGTACATATGCTACAGCCCCACTCCAAGTTCACCAAAGAAAGTATGAGGGAGAGCCACCCACACATGGATGTACAGGTGCAGGGCTGCAACATGAGCTGCTGCCGATGCCGAGAGGTGCCCCCTCACCCCTGACCACAGCCAGGTGATAGGTGGCTGTCCCCAGGCCACTGGCAGGGCTCTTCTTGCTCTGCCTCCGCACCAGCTCCTGATCTCCACAGCTTGGCCCATTCCCCAGGTGCCCCTCCCACCCCATCCAGCTGCAGCTGAAATCGCTCCAGGCTGGATGGTGCCTTTCCAGGAGGAAACAATGTTCCTGATTGGAAACAAAAGGCTTTTCCCAGTGGATCCGGTGCTTGGTGCCATGGGGAAGGGATGCACGGACCAAAGCCAAGCCATTTTGGGAAGGGGAAGGAGGGCTCAGGCTAGGCATGGCAGACGGAAAAGGCCTGGTGGTTCCCAGAGCGCTGCTGATAGCGCCGAGACCCCAGCATGAAGCTCCACCTGAAGTTTGAGACTCTGCGATCCTGCTCGTATGCAGGGCAGAGCTCAGCCTGTTTCATCCCAGCAGAGCCATGTCCTGGCTTGTGTTGTGTCATCTGGTGGCAAGGTCACCCTAAGATGCCTGCTCAGCATGGCGAAGTCCAGTGACACGAAGCCAAGGTGTCAGGCAGGGGTAGAGGCAACAGGGCAAGGGGTGCCACGGGCACCCACACAGACTGCAGTCAGGCAGAACAGGGACAGGATGCTGTCCTGATGGCAGGGATGCCGCATGTAGGGTTCACCTGTCCCCAAGCATGGCTGTGGCTGGCAATGCCCTGTGAGGAGGGTGGGATGCAACTGGGAAGGGGGCTGTGGGGCAGCCAGAGAGTTGTGCCCCAGACCTCTAAACACAGGTGGAGAATTGCTGTCCCTGGGGCCCCTCATGTACTCACATGCACATCCCCAGCCTTCGGCCCACATAACAGGGAGGGTTGGAGCTGGCTCTCTGTGCTGCCAGCCCATCCCGCATGCCACCATGACATTGCTGCCCACCACACCGCACACCCCAGTGATGTCATGCTCCACTACTGCAGCGACATCCCATCCCGGGCCGCAGCCACCTCCAGCACCACTATGACATTGCGCAGCAGGGGCTTCATCACACCCCAAAGGCACCCCAGAGCAGCGACAATGTGGTGACATCACAGCAGCCCATAACATGCTGCATATGCCCCAGTAACATCATATTCCCATTCCTGCCATTCCCAGGCTGCCACAACTGTACCCATCAGGGCAGAGGGCAGGCAAGAGATGTCCCGCAGACCCAGCAGCCCCTCTCCCACAGCAGCTGTGCTGCCCAGGGATGCTAGCAGTGTCTCCTCCATGGCACCTCAGCCCCAAGCAACCCAGCCCCTGCAGTGCCTCTGCTCCGGTCAGAGCCTGTGAGCCCCAGTCCCGCTACCCCAGGCTCAGCACTGCTCCCTCCCACACCCCTCTCGCAGACCCTGGCCTGTGCACGCATTCCATCACAGATGCTTCCAACAGGCACAAAGGCCCCAGCTGCTGGCTGTTCTGTCCCTCTCCCCTCCCACACAGGACTCCTTAGTGCCGGACCTGGCACGCTGGGGCTCAGCCAGCAGCAGCTAACGCAGTGTGGAGAAGAGCAGTCACCTTAGCCTCTGAGCTCAGCCCAAAGGGACACCAGGTCCTTGGGGGGCTCAGCTGTGGCCACCTGCTCCCGGACTCACCAGCTCACAACCAGCCCCTTCCCATGCAAGCAGATGCACGGACAGACCCCTCTATCTGCAGCCCTCAGTCCCTCCACGGGCTCAGCCACGACCAAGCACAAATGTCCCTAGCTGCCGTTTCTCCCCCTCTGTCCCTTGCTTCTTGACACCCTGATGCCTCTTCTCCGGTCCCAGTCCACACCTCCCATTACCATTCCATCCTCCTAAGCCCACTCCACTCTCATCTGAGCATCCTTTCATCTCCATCCCCATTCCACATCCTTCATCTCTCTTCCTCCCGCCTTGCCACCCA